TTTGAGCTTGTGGCAGGGTCCGACGTTGTTTTTATCGATATCTGCATAGCTTCCTTGATTTGCTTCCAGTGTTCATTGAGTCCTTCAGCTGGTGGTTGAACTGACAGGCGATCGGAGAGCTCCGCTTCGAAGGCCGATTCGCAAGAATCGCTGACACTGTATCGCGGATATCCGTTGTCGGTGGCTTTTTCGCGGTTTGCCAGGCTTAAGGAGAACTTGGCTCGTAACAAGGCGTGATCTGTATCCACAGCTGTTGACCCGTTAAAGCGGCAGTCTTGAATTGATCCCCTCTAGCGGTAACTGATGGTGATGTGGTGTGAGCTAAACGATTTGCAGAGCTAATGGCTCATCCGTGACGTGACTGTGACGTCTTGCACGCTGGTCGGAGCACTTCGAGGCACAGTTTAGCTGGTCACCAGCGCCAGCTTCTCACAGAGCCACTCCGGCATACGTCCTATGGTCTTTATCTACAAACCCCTCCTTATGATACATTCAGCAAGGAGATCCAAGCCTTGGGACGGGCTTGGATCCGATGGCCTTCCCTCAACTCTATTCAAAAATGGCGGTATAAAAGCTGGTTAGGAAATTGGAAAATAGGCTTTATGAAGTTTGGTACACTGAGTATTTGCCGTTCCTTGGGGAAGGAATCGATTGTTGTTTTCGTCTTAAAAGAATTCTCGCGCAGTGACTGCATCAATGGTAAGGGTATAAGCCGGATCCCAATGGTGTCAAAGCAGTTGGCGTTCGTCATTATCTGCCGATTGTACAATATGCTTGAGGAATGGACCCGCGAGGAGTACACGGTTTCTCGCCAGTGATTGACGCATCGATCAGATCTTCACCCTCTGACATGGAGCGCTTTGCTTTTTCATAAAGATTATTGTACCATGATTTGTTTGGCACACAGTCTGGGGTCGGACGTGTGCGAAATATACATAATATATCCCCTCCGACAGTTTTTAGAGCACTGTCATGCCTATTAAAGACAGACGATCACGGTGTTCGAGACATCCGCGCGCCCATCCAATCTGTTGACAGGACTGCACTATGGAACGGTTTGTTGAAGAATTGAGTACTTTACTGTATTCACTTCTGTGTAATAAAAAAATACCTGAGAAGTAATTTTCGATCCCCAACGATTTGTATCACTATGCCTCAAGTCAGATTAGGATCCATGTTCAGCTTTCGCCAACCCCCGAGGTCTCCAGTGGAGTTCGACAAGGCTGCCCTATATCCTCATTCCTTTTTAACTGTCATAGAGAATGCTCTACAGAACAATTTTTCCGGTTTTTCAAACGATGGGGTCGAACTCCTCCCAGGGAATAGAGTCCCTGACTTAGAATATGTCTATGACGTCCGCTTGCTGGGTGCCAATGCACAAGCAGTGCAACACGCTTCAAACCGCTTGGCGACCGAGGTATTCAGGTGTGGCATGTGCTTAGCAACATCTGAAGCTAAAGTGCTTGTTCAAGACTAGCAGGAGCCTGCGCTTACACCCATCCTCTGTGGTGATCAGCTGGATGTGATTAAGAGTTTGAAGCTTAATCGCAACTAGAGGTGGTGCTGGGGAGACTGCATCAAGAATAACGAAAGCTAAAACAGCATTTGCCAACCTACGAAACTTTTGAAACCGCCATGACACCCAATTGTCCCTTAAGAGGAGGGTGTACATCACTGCGGTTCGTTGTATTCTTTACAGTAGCGAGACCTGACCCCTCCGCGTTGAAGATGCTAGTCGACTTTCTTTATTCGACCACCTATGTCTCCGAAGCATTGCTCATGTGTGGTAGTGATATCGGATTAGCAATGACTAGGTTCTTCGTCGTGTTTTGGGTGTGGATAGTTGCTCTCTAACAGGAGTAATCGCTCTACATCGCCTCGGATGGCTTGCTAACGTTTCTTGTATACCTGCCCATCGTCCACTTTTCCGTGCTCTCTTCGTACTTTATGTCCAAGGCTGAAAGAAGCACCGCGGTGGTCAGACCATGACCTAACATTCATAAACAACCTGTGGAAGGCTATGTAGCCAAAATAATCACTGTTTTTTTATCACATATCTAAGTGTGATGAACAGCAGAGGGGGTGAACTCCATAGTCACGAGCACCTGCTGCTCAGTGGTGGAAACCGGCAACCTGAACCCCGGGACTTGGAGTGGCGAACCACATAAGACCCCGATAGGTTAGGCGTGGTTTTGAACCGGACGACAGCAGAGCTGCCTACCACCGAAGTCCATTAACAGTGGCGGGTCTCGAACGTCAGACCATAGGGTCCAAAGCACGCCAGTGACAGCGACTAAATCATTACGCCACCGACACCCTTGGAAACCGGCAACCTAACGCCAAAATTTGGAATACAGTGACTTGACCAGCGGGCTCGGTGACACCTCAAAAAGGCTGAAAGCAGCTCATCTCTGGTCTTTTTTGAACGATAATGAATTCAGTGTGCCAAAGTGTGAGGTTCTATCTCTACGATTTTCTGGCGATTTTCCTATTTCCTCGGAAATGAACAACTGCCACACACTTCAGGTGAGAAGGACCTGGACATCATCATTCAAGAAAACTCAAGCTGCTCACTCAACTACGCCAGGTTGTCGAACGCAGCTGTAAAGAATGTCGTTATTCATACGCAGAGGTGCCGAAATCTCTGGGGTTATATTCCAATCACTACCGGCCCATCAGAGGAGACGTTATGGTATACCAAATAATGCAAAACCTAAGCCATCCGTGTCGCCCACTGCTAAAGTAATCACCCAAAGTTCATCTTAGAGAACATCCGTTTAAACTAGTCTTATTAAAATACCGATTGTAATGCTGGCGTCAGTCATTCACAGTCAGAGTGTGTTCGATCTGGAACTCTCTCCCACCCCACGTCGTCTGTGCGCCAAGCATTGAATCTTTCAAACTGAGACTCGATGAAACATTAGCACACCTTACATTCCAACATAGGTAAAGCTGCGTGCAGCAGTGGAAAAAGCCCGTGTCATGTGATATTTTTACACAAGGAATTGTATGTATCACTGTCTTTTAACCACAACACGAACCTTTGGGACGAGAAGAGCATGAGCTTGTAAGTTGTTCCTATAACAAATCTTTGATTCTTTGACATGGCGCAGAGGTATGAGTAAGCTAGCTTCAGCTTTGGATTCGGTTGGTGCAGCCCATCTTCCAGGTTGGGACCCAAGGGATGAGGATTGTTCTTGGTTAGTGACCCTCAGAGATATGACCCAGAATAAAAGTCAGTGGCATGAATGCTGTGCGGTCTGCCATGTTGAAATCTCGTGCCCCGTAAAAAAGAATAATTAAATAACACACAAAAATATCAATTGTGTACGTTGAAAACAAAAAGATTGTTCTTGTTATCTACTGTTATCCATTGTAACTATTTAACCTCCATCTCACTCTATTCGATATTCCAATCCCAAATCCTCTGTTTTATTATAATTTATTGTCGTTGGCACCATATTTGCTCACAATCCAGTGATATATATATATGTATATATATATAAATGGTCGAAAATTGGATGTCGAATTGGTTCAGATTACCACATACCATACAAAAAGAACCATCTACGTGATTCGTTTTATTATTACACACCTCAGGGTGATGAACAGCAGACGGGGCGAACCCCATAGTCACGAGCACCTGCTGCTCAGTGGTGGAAACCGGCAACCTGAACCCCGGGACATGGAGTGGCGAACCACATAAGGCCCCGATAGGTTAGGCGTGGTATTGAACCGGATGACAGCGAAAGAAAACTAGGAAAGCTCATCTGAGAGGCAATTAAAGGAGATGTATATGGTTCAGGGAATAATTGATCAGCCGTTTCTTAGGTGTTTTGGTCTGAATTCAGGAAGGGATGCGTTAATGTGGTGGGTGGATTGACGAAAAGTAGTAATCGAGCTACGGTTCGTAGGATCCTTAATGCATGTTATAAACATCTTTTTAGTGAAAAATAATAATCACATTGGTTTCGTATTCAACGTACATGAAAACGAGATTCCATAGGTACACAATTAGTGTTCCAATTACGTTTGCCTGCCAAATTGATACGTTGTTTAGAATACCGTGATTGTGTGAATAGTGTTTGCGGCCAGACAGAAAGTCTTTGTAGTCTAAAACAAACACAGTAATGCAGTTATATGTTTGCTGACACTAAGTCTTTATAATGCATCATAATTATTTGGATATAAACAAATACGAGTCTTGTATTCCATCTGGTGTGAGGCCAGTGTAATGAATGCCTGGGACTAGGATGGTGAATTTAATTTTTCCACACCAATACTGTCACAGGAAAATTGTGATGCTAAGTGTTTATAAGCCCAGCACTTTCTCTCCGCAGCCCTCAAACGTGTCGAAAAAATTGTTGAAAGAATGTCAGCGTGCTCATCTGAAAGCGGAACGTGAGAGGATACGAATCCAAAAAGAGTATGAACAGGAACAGGAAAGAAAACGAAAAATTTTGGAAAAGGTAAGCTTGCGCTTATTGTCACGTTCTAATCCCCGCTTATTTATAGGAGGCCAAATTGAAGGAGAAACAGTTGAAAAAGGAGGAGGAGGAACGTCAGAAGGAAGAGAAACGATTAAAACGCTTGGAGGAACAGAAAAAACGTGACGAAGAAAAAGAGGCGGAACGAAAACGAAAAGAGTAATTTGTTTTTCAACACACCATCTGTACATATCATTTTTCGCTATCTTAGAGAAGAGAGACGAAAGAAAGAAGAGGAACGTATACAAAAAGAACAAGAGAAGAAAAAAGAAGAAGAATTCAAAACGAAACGGGAAGAGAAACAACGTGCCGTACTTTTGGGCTTTTTGGTCAAGAGTGAAACCAAAAAGGTTTGTCGCATTGTTGTTCGGTTTCCGATAAATTATGATTACATTCATTTGGATAATTCAGGATGCACCTACTTCTGGCCCCACCTCCTGCGGTCCCTTCATGCAATTCGAGTTGCGCAAAGATATGCGAATGGCTCCGATTCACCGCGTGTCCGGTGAACTTTTGGAACAGAAACGTTCCAATCTGACCAAATTGTTGGAACGTTGGCGTTCAGGTGAATCGGTCGACACCGCAACCGTGCTAGGCTTGCGGAAATTTGGTCGCACGGATTATTTGCACGAGTTGCGAACTAGACAGCATATTCCGCTTTCCTCGCCAAGTACATGGCCAACGTATGTTCCAATTTGTAGACATTTGGTTCTGCTTTTGTCTCTGAATCCACCTGAAGAGTTTTTCTTTATTTTTCCCCCGTGCTCCTTTGCACTTTTTGCCTTACTTTTGATCCTATTTGTAAATGTGTACTTGTCATCACTTCAAGGCTTTGGAAGAACGGTACAACTGCTTCCTCCTTGTTGGCGGTTGTTGACAATACATATCCATCGAATGCACATCGGCGAAATCTGTCAGGTTGCATGCGCAACATATAACTCAACCAATGTAGTCTATGCGGGTAGAACACTTGCTCCGGTGAGCGATGGCATCCTATTTCTATATTACTTGTTCGGTTACCGCGACTTGTCTGTGTAATGCAGGGTACACACCGGTATTCAAACATCCATAGTCTACCTTCATCCCGTTTCCTTGAAGACCAGGTCTCCGCATTATACATAAGCATCGGCCGAACCTTTGCTCTTCACAGACGGGCGGATGTCGTGACGGCATCACATGTGTTTCTCTATGACCAGCCTTCTGTATACATGGCCTCCGAAAGCCTCAGCACGGTTGTGGTTGATTTCTCGGGTTGTGACTGATTACCCTTTCCTTACATCTCGTGAACCGCTACTCTACGACCAACCATCTCGAACAACCACTACTGAGAACGCCCTACTCAAGACCTTTCCGTGGCAGAGGTGTTTTTCCATCAAAGTGTGAGAACAAAAAGCTAACAGTCGGGGGTATAACCGGGTCGGCGAACTACTGGCAGTTCATCTAGGAGAGATAGATGAAAAACCAAGATTCCAAACCAGCCAAGAAGAGGCTTAAGAACCACAAACACTCACACCTTCCTGGTTGTGGGAGTGGTCACTGGTTCAATTGGACATTGAGATGTATTGGGCACCTTGGATGTTTGATCCCGTCCGAGGGGCGTATGATCCGATGAACTGGACACCAACCTCCAGTGGACTGCGGACTCTGAGCTCCGTCCTGTTCGTTTACAGGTCGGGCATTCTAGCTAAAGGTTTCTGGTGAGGACCCGGAGATTACTATGCGCCTTCCTCGGTCAGGGCAATTGAGGAAGTAGCCTGCCCACACAATCTATGAACACATTCTACGGGTTTTCTTTTCATATGTTGTGGCACATTTGTCAATTCTATGGAAATTGCTACTTGGTGAATATATATTCAGGGTCTATTCTGTGAATAATATACGATAAAAAAGGGCTGTTTAGTAATAAACAATAACAACACAGAACTTCATTCAATCTTTCGACCACAATGACTCTTTTGTTTAGAGTGCGGAGCAAGCACAAGAATAACACCTTATTAGACCAATAGCAAACCTGATACAAACTTAATGGAAATCAGAAGAAACACATACGGTGATGAAACACGAACGAGAAATTTTACAAAATGTCATCGAAAAGCACTAAGGATAATGAAAACAGAACTAAAATGAACATTGAAAACCGTGAGGAACAAGAAGAACGCATTGACAAGGAAAAAGTGATATCGTCAGCTCTGGCGAATCCATGAATTATCCCCGGCAGTGCACACACACACACATGAATACTGTTTCTAATCGATTGGCTATCCGACACAACTTAACTTCCCCAGTTTGAACACGAGTCAACCAGACCTATTTAGGTTGTACTGTACCAGAAAAACTGTTTCCAAATTTGTGACTACCGTTCTAACCAATACAAAAAGTAACGACTTTGTCGAGTGAAGAAAACGAACTGCAAAATGTTCAAGAATTTCACTCGGATAGAGAACCGAAATGGTGCACTCTGTGTGAGATGAAATGAGAGCGAGATTATTCGCATCACCCTAACTGAGAATGGACACCTACCCGGTACACACTCAGTGCAGATCGGATCAATTGTAATTCGGCTTTCTCCACACCCAGACTGACACTGGCCCCGTGGGAACGAACACATTCGAGGTTCTCTTTCTCCTCATCCAATTCACGCACCGAATCCGCACCCACTTGGGTGATTGAGGGCAACTCAATCGGGTTGGGAAGCCACATGGGACCGAGAACCAACGGCTTCAGTCGCTGCATACCACGACGATGCGCCGCCTCGTACTCCACGACCGACAAACGTTGACGCAACATTTTCATCTCTTCATCTTTCNTCCCTCATCGTCCGACAAATAACCGTGTGGAACGAAAAATTGGTCATCTTCATCTTCCTCCTCCTCCTCCTCTTTTTCTTCCTCCTCTTCTTCGTTCTATTATTATTAGTTTTGGGTGAAAAAGCATATCATGAAGTTAGTTGATTCAACAAACACGCGGACGGTATATTTGGAACGAGCGAAAGGTGTGCGATCGAAAGCAAAAAGTGATGGGAATGCATGGGAAAAAGTTCAACAGCAACATATATATTGGCACTATTCTAGTGTCACAGTCTACTCTGTGCTTTTTATAGCTGAGTACCTGGGATTTCAGCATACTNACTTATCACAGAAAAAGAAGCTCATAGCCACGCATGATTATCTATTCAGGCATTCCACGTGACGGCCGCAAATAACTGATATTGCATCATCACGAAGAGACTACGGCTGGATGATGTCTAAAAGCTAATTTTTAATAGCGTGCAACGCCAAAGGAAAAGCGATAACATTCTTTTCATTGAAAATTCTGTCCACATTGGATGAATAAAGTGCACTCTTGACTTGACTTGACTGTGTCTACTGGATCCTCGTCAACAGGCGTTTGTGTTTCATGTGGGTCCACAGTTCACTCAGTGTTCAAGAGGAAATCCATATCGAAAGGTGGTTGTTCATGATCTCAAGATATATGCATCAACCAACTCCAGTTCGCATGCAACACAGTAAGAGCTCTATGACCAAATGTATGAACTCGTTTGGCTGGGTCTAAACACCGGTATCATTGTGTTGGTAAGCCATTTTAACGAGCAAGTAGGGGAAACTGAGGGCAACGGAATCTTGCCTAGTAGGTTGTTGCGCCCCATCCTCTCAGCAAACGGATAATGGAGACCGGTTTGCTACTTCAATTCTATGCAAACTCCTGTCAGTACTGTCAGTACACAACTGTCGACAGATAACAACGTGGCGCTCCAATTTAACAAGTTATCTACCTCATCTGGAACATACAGAAGTAAGCTACTGTTAGCGTGGCCCAATACAGAATTGTAGGTCCCATTGAACGTGACGACATACTGTCAGTCTGATCATGCGTTAGGTATGATGCCCCTTGCGCTTGGACCCACTGACCGATGACAAAACCGATAAACCGAGTTGGTTCATCATCATCATCGATTGTCTGATCAAGTCGTCTGTGGCCGTTACGATTCGGGGCTGGAGCATGAGTCAAGAGTACCAGAGATGATGGTGGAGGTCAATAATGGGATTAGAACAAATATGCGTATTTTCTTTGTACACGGTAGTGCCACAAAAAGTGAAGTAAATGAATCCCATAGCTACTGGCTGACAGCATCAGTCAACCATCTAAGCTCTGAGACTCAATTTGGAGAACTATACAATGCGCTAGTACTGATATTGGTCTAGGGGACGTCACAGTGGTCTTTCAATAAAGCTAAATGATACTTAACCGTTTCCGATCATATATACTCAGAAATTCGTTAAACTTTAAATTGCAACAACCTCGTCTTTTCGTAGTGGTGATCGTTTACTTGCTACTCATTTGGTCAAACAAAAACCAAGGTATTTAAAATGTGAAAAGAGAATGCGTAGGGAAGGTGAGTTTTTGTGAAACTGAACTGGATTACCTAGTATCCCCATCGACTCGTACGAATAATTTACGACACAGGACGACCTCCACGATATGGACCCGAACAATGAGCGTGACCACCATACACTAGCACCATCCTTATCATTGTCAACATCACCATCATCTCATATTTTTCCTCTGCTATTTTTCGTGGTCTGCAAAAAGAGCACTGTACGGTTTTCCGTTATAGTTTTTCGATAATGGATCACATCTCTGATATTGGATAGACGATAGGCGTGCTGAGCACAAGTAATCAAGTCATTTTATTATACCTCACTTTCCCTGTTTAATCACTTTCTTCTCGTCTGTGTTAACTTTCTTTACGTGGTCAGCTAAAGTACCGGCAACATCGGCTTTCAAAGCTCCGAAGAAAAAATCTCTGTAAAAACAAATTCTACGCGTAAGATCCTTCATGAACAATCACTGAAATGGGAATAGGCCCTGACGCACTAGCCGGGATGATTGTAAGCATTTCGATTAGTTCATGAAACACTGTACAAACTGGGACAGTCTAGACAGCCGATAAAGCTTCACTCACATCAGACTGAGTGATACTCTCCCCCGGCTCTTCCTCTTCCCATTCATCATCCGAATCCACCGTGTAGTCCAATTCCAATTGATCACGAGCGAAAGGTCGTCGTCCTGTGACAATGTGACTTCCACGACGCCATGTGCCATAATAAGCGGGTCGATAATTCTCCACGAATTGAAAAAGTTTAGCTCGAAGCCATACTGTTCCACCCGGTCCGCGACATCCATGACGTTTGAGCATAGGCAAATTGGTGGCAGAACATAGATCTTCGAATTGGACATCCGGAGGTTCACTGAATCACAAGTGAATTCACAGTGCATCAGGGAAAAAGGTGAAATCGAGCTAAATTATTTCAAAAAGAGTATATTTTAAGTGCACTTCTTAGAATGATGAGAACAAGAAATATTTAACTCCCAATACCTGGTTATCATGCGCATTTTTACGGCAATGGTGTAGCTCGTTCCTTGATATTTGGCTAAACAGCAACAGGTACCGCTCTACTACAATGTCTGGAATAGAATAAACAGTAACATAGATAGATATAGAACAACTCCAACTCCGGCTGCAGCAATTCGGCCAGTACTGCTTCACGATGCGGAGACTTGGCCATTACGGGAACAGGATGAAAATAGGTTGTCGGTTTTCGAACACCGTTGTCTACATAGCATACATAGCATAGTCTGGTAGGGTAATCAGACGAGCAATGCTGAGGTTAGGCGTAGAGTTTTAGGTAATGGCATGAAGGTATGAAGATCCTGACCAGGAGACTGGCTCACATAGGCCACGGTAGACTCCCTAGCTGGAAACCCTGAAATCATGGTCACCGATGGTTAGAGACACTGAGCGATACGGGTGGGTGTCTCAAACAGTAGTGCTTATGCATCAACTCATTATTCTTGCAACCTCAGTCTATAAAGAATCCTTAATTACTTTGCTTTACTACGGCTGGCTTCTTGGAAAAGATAAGCCGGCTCTAGACATGATCGTGTTCCCGATAATAAAGTTATTTGGGGGGTTGGTACTAGAGCCGTCCCCAGCATCACTCGGCGCATTTTTATTTTGAGGACGCACTTTTAGCCTTTGCACAACGAAGTGTGAACTGCAAGGCAGCAGGAAGAAATCCCTCGCCTCGGAAGTGAGGGGGTCAATGACTTTAGTTTTTAAGGACCAGTCACATCGACCTTTGTCACGACACCGTCACTGGGATTATTTGGCTTTTAAACAGGAGCCAGGTGATCAGCTTGAAACCCACCACACCCTGGTAGTGCCGCCGCTTTTGTTCACGACTGCTTATTTGTTGTGGTATGCCACAACTTATTTACAGCTAACCTTCTTCGGTGAAGGTATTCCCCTATCCACAACCCGGGGACGAGCCTCGTAGCATTCAGCTCCGCTTAACCTGAGGATATCCAGGCTATCGTATGGTTTACGTTGAGCAAAGTTTTACGCTGTCAGTCACTTGTCGAGATCGCGGATTGAGGAAGTGACTAACTATGCACAGGTTGGCGTGAACTAACTGAATACGTGGTACCGGACAGATACTTGTTATATCTGAGTTGATAAGATTTTACCTAGTAAACGAACCGTTGCAAAACCATGACAAAAATTGAAACAGAAAATGTGGCGCAAATCACACGCGAAACATAGCTAAACTGAAAGTCAGCATATCCACAATCGATACTCCATAGTTTCCGTGTTCAGCAACACAGATCTCATTTTGCAGCTCGGGGATGGATTGGAGACGAACGGGCCTCGGAAAGTGATTGCGATAACGCTGTATTCCAACACGACGAGACGGTCAGTTGTATCATGAAGAAAATCCAGAATTCTAGTATACTAAGATTGGAAAAAGAAGCGTACCTTCGATCCGGCTACTTATCGCTTGAGAGCATGTAAATATCACGATGCACACATGGCGTCAGAGTCTCATTTCTTAAAATGAGTTTTATCACAAAGTTGACAAAGGGAAGAAGGGATTGGGGAGAGTAAGGGTGTGAACCACGACCGCTAATAGTGGAGATAGACGCAATCGGTTCGGGTCAGAGGAATTGTATCGTTTGCGACCACTTATCACGCGAGTGATGTCCGTCTGTGACAGAGGCCGGGGGCGAATCGGTGCTGATAATACACTCATAACAAAAAGTGACGAAACAAACATCGATGGAAGTCTGTCGAAATGTGTTTCACAATGTTCTATCCATTGTGTTATAAGAGCGTTGCTGGACATGGTGTGCTTTCATTCGAACATAAAAAGAAGCAGTTCAATACGGAGGCGATGCTACCGTACAAGGATGCTCGTGGGCAAAAATTATATGAATTATATTTCGCACGCCCTATTACGGTAATTAGGCATACGTGTCATGGAGGAAATAAGAAAGATTATCAATATTGTTTATTATCGTGATATAACAATAGGTATCCGTGCCACAACATATGAAAAGAAAACCCGTAGAATGTGTTCATAGATTGTGTGGGCAGGCT